TCAAAGAACTACATACAGACAAAATAAGAAAGAACTGTCTTTGCCTCTCTCGCTGCCTTCTGGTGGAGGGGTCAAGTGCTGGGCTGCTAAATGCAAGGTCGGCACGAACCTCTAAGCCAGAGGAAAAGGAGCCTGTCTAATTCCATGAAGCGTTTCAGTCCCAGCAATCCACAGGGCACTTCTCCCAGGCCTTCTAGAGTTCCTACTAGATAGGACCAAAGAAAGCATTTAATGTCATGTGAGTGGTGTGCTGCACAGAATTTTAAAAATCAACAAGTATGTGTTGAGCACATAAATCATGAAAATATTATATTATTGCAAACTGAAAACTGATTTTCATATAATTTTGCATAATATTATATGACATCATTCATTGATTCATAAGTTTGTAGTGTGACATAACAATGTCAATAAGTTACCAGGCTGTTTAAGAATAGAAACAGTTGTCTTTTCTATTGTACAGCATGAATTTCGTGAATATCCAAGACATTGTGGTTACGTGCCACTGAGTCTGTTGACTCAAAGTGAACCTATGTAAAACAGAGCGAAACACTTTTCACTGCAGCCTTACTAAGACTATGTTTGTTAATTTCCCAAATAAACCCCCCTCTCTCTACTGATACTCATGTCTGGTCCAGCTCTCTTTCCTGGGGCTAAAAGTGTGTTTTTCTTTTGTTTTGGTGTTTATACAAGTGGATTTCAGTAGCATGTGGGCAGTTCTCTTGTGATAATTATTTTGTTATATGTGCTGTACTTCATGATATCATTGTTTTTTTGCTGTTTTGTTTTTTAAATCATTTTATTGGGGGCTTGTACAACTCTTATCACAATCCATACATCCATCCATTGTGTCAAGCACATTTGTATATGTATTGCCCTTATCATTCTCAAAACATTTGCTTTCTACTTGAGCCCTTGGCACCATTGTTACTGGTCTTCCTTGCTGTCCGTTGTTCTGACTCATGACAACCGGATGTATAACAGAAACATTGCCCAGTCCTGCATCATCTTAAAAGTCCTTGGTATGTGTAAGTCCCTTGTTAAACCATGGGAATGGCGCCCTGATGGCAAGTACATTGAGCTGCCAAGGGTAGCAGCTGATCCGTGGTTAAAGACGTGGCAGTCTACATGCATACAGATGTACAGCCTTAGAAACCCTTGTGGGCCGTTCTGCTCTGTCCTGCAACGGTTGCTATGAGTTGCCATTGACTTGATCACAGTGGATACTTCAGGTGAACCCAAAGTGATCACAAGCATTCTTTGAAATGGAAAGAGGAGGTAGGATTTTGGAGAGGAAGTCAAAATCAGAGATTTGAAGATGTTAGGCTTCTGGGATTGATGATGAAGAAAAGAGGCCATGAATCAAAGGGTGTAGGTCAGCTCTAAAAGCTGAAAAAGGTAAGAAACAAAGCTGTAATTTTAACAACATGGTTGTTTTCCATTTGTGTGTGTGTGACATGTCTGAAGACGTCTGAACATTACAGCTCATTGCTAATTTTCTGCTTCGGCTCTGAGTGTGGAAGAGACACTGGGGAAAGGCTTTCCCAGAGGTCATTAAATTTTGCATCATTTCTTTAAACGGGTCTTAGAAGAAGTAGGGAAAAGAGCTCTTGTTATGAAAGATTTCAGTCAGTGAGACACAGATCCAGGACCAATGTAGACTGACTTCTATCAGCCTTCGAGCTTCTGGAGCCAGAGATTTTCCAGCACCAAGTATTCGCAAGGCATTTCCTAAAGCAGCCCTCTTCATTTTGGTCAACCGCTTTCAAATTATCTCAAGAAGAGATAGCACAAGAAAGCAAAACTGAGCCTTGGAAAAGACTGGTGAGATTGTTTTTTCTTTTTTTTTTTGGGGTTTTCTTGTATGGAGATAGATATTATCTTTTTTTTTTTTTCTATAAAACAAAATTTTACAGAGAAGATTTGTGGAAATATGTGGATTCAATAACTTTTCTCAGAAGGAAGAGGGATTGAGAGTATTAGTATGCTGATAATAAGATACTGATGTGTATCTCTTCATGCAATGGTGGGCTCAAACATAAATACAATTATGAGGGTAGTGCAGGACTAGGCAGCATTGCATTCTCTTGTACCTGTAGTGGCACTATGAGTCGTGGCACCTAACAAAGAGAACATTCTTGACTATGAAATATGGTAGCATGATTAAGACCTAGCCAATCAGACTTTTAGCATATCAAAAACGAGTGAGGGGTTATCATGTTTGAAATGCACAGACAGAGGAAAAATCCTTTGGGATAGATGTTGATCGAAGTAGAAAGTTAGACTGTCTAAAACGCTTTGGTGTGGACAATGGCTGCACCATTCAGGTTTGTTGCTGTATACCCTGTTATTTCTGCATGTGATGCAACAATAGAATTTACAGTTGTCAAAAACTGCTATAATTTGAGGTCCTTTAATCAAACTCTCTGAGGGAGAATAGTATCCATTACTACTTGTTAATCAGGAGCAAATGCACAAAGGGTAGCCAACGAGCAAAAGCAGGTTTTATTCCAGCACTGAATTTGAATTTTATTATTCTTACTATTATTATAAAGATCATTATCTTCTACAGTATGAATAAGGAGGACTTGTAATGACTTCTCCAACAACTTTCATTTGTAGGTGTGGACACAACTCCATAATTTCATAAAAGTGATGTTCCACAAACAAATAGCCGAGAGCACAGTGCAACCTAACGGATCTTGAGAAAACGTGACCTCATTTAAGTAGAAAAGTTCCTCAATATTATTTGAGATACTGTGGCAACCTAGCCTAACCTCTGGTTACAGGAATCATTTACATGGAGGACTTGATTTGAGGAAGCACCATAAAAATCCCTCTAATCAAAATCAGAACCCATTTCACTCAAAGCCCAGGTGATCCGTTAAGAGTGCCTGAAATTCCAACACCGAAGATGCTTCATTTAAATGCAATATCACCCTCTTCCTAAACCAAATTAGCTTCTCTTTCTCTGATGACCTCTTCCTTAAAAATTTATTTTTTCCACTCTCATCTTCTCACCCACGCTGGGAGAACTAATGTCAACTATGATGAAAATTGAAGAGTTTGAAGAGTGTGTGCAGGAGTGGTGAGATGAGAGGGTGGGGTGCCTCCAAACATCACCCCGGCCCTAGCCCCCTGATCATTGGATGAGATCAAAATACTCACCCGAAATCAAGCCTAGGGAAGCCTGAGTTTGGAGAGAAGGAAGCATGTGAGACCTCACTTTGTTTCCTTTCCCAGCCCTCCCTCCCAGAGGGTTATGTGATGACTCCAAGCTGACAGAGGGATTTCCCTTCACAATGGCAGAGAGGAACGTGAAATGGAAACATTCTCATTTCACAAGAGGGAAACAAATGTCCCACTAACTGAAGTGATTTCTCCTAGTTCCAATAGCACCATGTGGTTCAAACTCACTTGGGATGCGGGGTCTCTAATAACTGAAAACCCACTTGGTGTTATCTAATACAACAGCAACAATGGCACCACGATCTAACTGTTAGGTGATTTTTTATTTGTTTCTCTTTCTATTCCATCATTCTATATCCGGACTGTGAGGAAGTTGGGGACAATTTGGTGTCAGAGGCCATTGAATGCAGTCAGACACAGAGCAACCCTAAGTCCCACAGAGCAAACTACTGCCCAGTCCTGTGCCATCCTCACAATTGTACTGTTTCAGCAAATTGTTGCAGCCACTGTATCCATCCCCCTGGTCTAGGGTCTTCCTCTTTTTTACTGACCTTCTATTTTTCCAAGAATTGTGTCCTTCTTCCATGAACTTGTTTTTCCTGCTTCCATGTCCAAAGCATGTTAATGCAGTCTCGCCATCCTTAACTCTAAGGAGTACTCTGTCTGGACTTCTTTCAACCCAGATTTGCAGTCCGTGACACTTTCAACAGGCTCTGCTGACAACATCACTCAAATGCATCAATTTTAAGATAACCTAGGAAAGCATAAAGACACCCACGTTCCATACGGATGTGATCATCCAACTGGCCCTACTTGGGCTCACCGGTGAGGGCAGTGTCCAGGCATGTTGAGATTCAAAAGACAAATTCTAGGCTTATGTCTTTGTATCTGTGTCAAGGTGAAGGTCAACTTCTCCGGATATAGAAATGCTACTATGCCCACAAGCACAGACCAGCCAGCCATTGAATTGCCATTGAGTTGATTCCAATTGATGGTGACCCCACGTGTATCAGTCTAACTGTGCTCAAAGGATATTTTAGTTTATATTATAATTCTACTTCTCCGTTGCTACTGCTGTTGTATTTGCATACACAAAACACACCAACATAAGTTTTCATGTGTATAATTTCATGACATGGGATATAGTTTTGACTTGTGGAATTATTTTCAGCCACCTTTTCTGAGTTGCCCCTTCCTCATTGACATAAATGTACTTTGCCCTAGCATTCCCAGCCAGTGTTTCAAATTGTTATCATCCATTTGATCCCACAACTTTTAAAAGAGCCCAATGCCCAAGGTAGACATAGTTTTACTAGCTAGGGGTTTTAATAGCTGATATTTCAACAAGAGATCCGCGGATCTTCCTCCTAAGATACTTAGAGAATGTAATTGATCTCTAATTTTATGGTTAGCATCTGAACTTGTTAATTTTCTGAACCAAGAAAAGCCTCAAACAGGGAAATCATTTCAAATAAATGAGGATTCGTGGTTACAAGCATAGAGATGAAGAAAGCTTTAAAAATGGCAAGAGAGCTGAACCCCTTAGCACGCGATGGATGACTTAGGGGATTTGCTTGATCTCTCTGAATGTCGATGATTCATCTGCAGTGGTGGGTGGAATGTTGTGTGATGGGACAATGGACAGAATATATTTCCCTTGACTGTGGGTTTCAAACAGTAGTAAGTTCCCCTTTGCCATTTTGAAGTACTATGATGATGCATTTCCCCTACAATAATGCTATTGTTCTTTTTTAATCTTTTTTCAGACAAATTATTTATCTCTTGGCAACTCTACCTGCTAGACTAATTCCATGGGAAAAAGAAACAATGTCACTGTGTTCGTTTTCTGGGGACTTTCTCAGAACCCAGTGGTCGAAGAAGTTTGTTTTGCTGTGTTTTCTTTCTTCTATGCAATTATTCTTCTGGGAAACCTTCTCATCATGCTGACAGTACGTGTGGGCAACCTTTTCACATCTCCAATGTATTTCTTTCTCAACTATTTGTCTTTTGTCGACATCTGTTATTCCTCAGTAACAGCTCCCAAGATGATCGTTGACCTACTTGCCAAGAGTAAAACAATCTCCTACGTGGGGTGCATGTTGCAACTCTTTGGGGTACATTTCTTTGGCTGTACTGAGATCTTCATCCTTACTGTAATGGCCTATGATAGGTATGTGGCCATTTGTAAACCTTTACACTACATGACCATCATGGACCGCAACAGATGCAATAATTTGTTACTAGGGACATGGGTATGTGGGTTCATACACTCCATTATCCAGGTGGCTTTGGTGGTCCAGCTACCCTTTTGTGGACCCAATGAGATTGACCACTACTTTTGCGATGTCCACCCTGTGTTAAAACTGGCTTGTACGGACACCTATGTGGTTGGTGTTGTTGTGACAGCTAACAGTGGGACCATTGCTCTGGGAAGCTTTGTGATCTTGTTAATCTCCTACACTGTCATCCTGGTGTCCCTGAGAAAGCAGTCAGCTGAGGGCAGGCGCAAGGCCCTCTCCACTTGTGGTGCTCACATTGCTGTGGTCATCATCTTTTTTGGTCCTTGTACTTTCATGTACATGCGCCCCGATACAACCTTTTCTGAGGATAAGATGGTAGCTGTATTTTACACCATCATCACCCCCATGTTAAATCCCCTCATTTATACACTTAGAAATGCAGAGGTGAAAAATGCAATGAAGAAACTATGGGTTAAGAAGGTTTTCTGGGATCCTAATGGTAAATAGAATGAAGCAATGACATTTCAAACTGTGTGAGTTTAACCTCTCAGCCAAAATGACCATACAATGAATACAATGTTATCAACCTTGCAAACTTTGAAAAAGGAAAAAGAAAACCCTAACACATCCCACAGAAATATGTACTAATTTTCGTTATCATTAAATTTATCCCAATATTTCATTATCAGTAATTATGAAAATATCTTGGTCAGAGAAGTCTTATCAAATTTAGGATAGCATTATAGTCCCACTCAACATCTTTGTTTTCTCCTGCATGTTCATGCCCACTTTCTTTCCATCAAAAGTGAAAGTCTCCTCAGTGTTGAGAATTGTAAACAATATATGCTAAGTACTCTATATCCATATGTTGTATGAAAAGATTACAAGAAAATGAGCAAGAATCTGAGCAAAAGCATGCTGAGATATACATTTAAGAAACAACAACAATAACAAAGAAAACCTCACTGCCATTGAGTTGATTCTGACTCACAGCGACCTTATAGTATAGAGTAGAGTAGACATTCCCCTATGGGTTCAGAGAATGTAACTCTTAAGGGTATAGTAAGTCTCTTATTTCTCCCATGGCGTGACAGGTGGTTTTGAACTCTTGACTTAGAACTTAGCAGTCCAATGTATAACCATTATGCCACTAGTCTGCTTAAAATTAAGATTCTTGTGATGTCTAAACCTAGAAAGTTAAAAATGAGAGAGGAATGTGTGAAGAATGAAAAAATGATAAAATACAAGCTTAAAAAAGCAAAAGACATGTTCTCATTCTCTTGTGTTGGGCCACAGATTACAACTTTGGTTTTCCATATTTCATTTCCTACCCCCCCAATTTTTAGGCTAATAGAGATGTTTTCCATCTTTTAATTGTAATAGCCCTTAATCATTGTTTTCATTGGCTCTACTCTTTGCCTGGAATCTGTAGCCAGCTGTCCTGGTTAATGTAAAACAACTTAAAAAGGATTCTGAAGAAATGGAATGAGAACAGTGCTAATTTGATGATCGAGGGCTGATGATTCAATGAACAGGACAAATATAATTGTTATTAATTTACCTACCGCCTCCATGTTTTACAAAGCAATTGATTGAATTCAATGAGTCCCCTTTCACTACTTGCTTGGCTTAAATGACCAGATTCCTGTTGGTGAATTCAGAGAAACTCATTGCGAACAAATGCCTTGTTCATGTGAATTGATAACTTGTCCTGGTACAGGATTATCTCCTTCAGCTTGGGATGCAACCTGACTCCCCCACCACGCACACTCACCCCCAGTAATGGGAAACATACCACTGATTATCTTCTGCTACTGTCTAACCATCTCTGCCACAATTCTATTTATACAATTCTCATATGCATTTTTATATATCTGGTATCTATTTGTGACACCTGGATGTGTGTTTGTGTGTGTGCAAACATTTATCATAATAAAAACTATAGATAATTAGTGCTTAAAATATTTGCTGATATTGATGTAGTCACAGAATTTAAAATAGGAAAGGCTAAAATGCAGTAAGACATCTAAATCAGAAGTTATTGTCAAGACACCTTTGCCATGAGACTTTTCCCTTCATAGTTATGGTTCCGGATTGGGACTGTGGGCACTAGATCTCTATAGGTTTCCATTTTCTTGGCTTAAAATGAGCATTATCTGAGTGCTTTCAAGCTAAGCTGATCATTGGAATCACCTCGGGAGATTTTTTAAGGAGACAATAGAGCCTCTTCCAAGTAAATCTTGTTCAGTAGGACAGGGAAATATAGTCTAAAAATCTTTATATGTACACACTTTATTTATTAACAAGCTCCTCTGGTGATTTTTATGATTTCAGGGAACTTGAACTGGCAAAACCTAAAATTAGAGACCATTTGATGTTTATGGAGCTCTGTGAGCCAGTGCATCCATAGAGCCTACACTGGCTATATGTCCTCATCTGCTGTGATGAGTCTTCAAGACTCTTAAAGGTGTTATTATAAAATAAAAGCAGCTAACATTGAACCATAGAATACATAACTGTTACTCGTTTGGTAATTTTATTCCCCTTGCTCTTTCCCTTATGCCTTTGCAACAAATGTTTGAAGATTGGTTTGTAATATTATGGATGTTGCAGATTTGAGTCTCCTGAGAAAGTAGAAACTCCTAAGAAGGGACCCTGGTAGTGCAGTGGGTTGAATATCAGACTGCTACCTTGAAGTTCGGTAGTTCAAACCCACCATCTGATCCACTGGAGAAAGGCAAAGATTTCTGCCCCTGTAAAGATTTACAGCTTCCAAAATCCACAGAGACAGTTCTGCTCAGCCCCATAACATCACTAATAGTTGGAGCTGATCAATGCCAACATTTTTTTTTAATTTTTTATTTTAAGAAGATTTAAGATGCCAGGTTCAAGACTCATAAAGACAGGAACAGAACATATACAATTATACTCAAGACTCCACTAGTAACTTTATAAAGTAGCCTCTACTCACAAAGTTGTCTCAGAGTCATTGGAGGTAGTTGCCACACAACCACCATCAAAACTACACTCTGACTCGCTCTGCCCTTTCTCCTTTTGGGATCCCAAACACCTGATTTTTTATTGGAGTTAACATATTATGTTCAATCACATCAAGCAGTATTGTACAATTGCTACCACCATCATTTTCAAAACATTTTTTTCCTTCCTGAACTCTTTGACATCAGCTCCTTTTTACACCCCACCACCACCATTGTACCCAAGCCCTGGCAGCCCCAAACCCTGATTCTACTTGCTGTCCCTATTCTGTCATTAATCCTGGGTCTCATGTACTGAAAAACATGTAACAAAAATTCAAGATCCCCAATGATATAACACATCTGAGATAAACCCAATATGAACAAACAAAAAAGTACAGAAAATGTTGAAAACCAGATCAGAGAGATCAACTGCCAAGATTGTAACCATTCAAGTCAGATTTATCCTTTGATTTTCTATCATCATCTCTCCAGTACACTCTGTTTTGTAACCTCTTTCCTCCCATCCCTCTGTTATGGATGGAGGGAAATCACCAGAGGCTTATTTCCTATGTAGATCGCACAAATGTTATCCTGTGTTCCCACTGTCAGCCATAGCCTGCTGCAAAATGAGTTCTCACAATTTAGGCTCTGATACTATTCCCTACTTTGATTTCAGATTATATAATTTATAATACTTTGATGACTGAAGCTGGTGTGCTTCTTCCATGTGGCCTTAGTTGACATCTCCCTTAGATGGCTGCTTGTTTCAAAACAAGCATCAAGTGCCTGGTTTTTAAAAATCATTAGTACACTGACATTGAGTGGAGTCTAACTTACCACAACGCTATTCTAACCAGTGTATGTGGAATTTCGAACGGAGAAAATCTTGCTGAAATCTCCCATCACTTTTACAGCTAGTTTTTACAAATGTGCCCCTCGTCTTCAAGCATGGATTCCTGCCCACAGAGGGGAAAAAAAACCAAAACACTTTAAGTGTGCATAATTCATTTTCTTTGTTGGAGCTGGAGTGTAGAGGAAGGAAAATAAGAAAATAGCTTTTTTTTCTTGTATTTACAAACTTAATGAACTTCACTGATTTTTTTTCATCTATTTTCAAGTAGAAAATGGCAAGAAGTGAGCTTGCAGATTCTAGCCTAGTTCACAAAGCTCAGGAAATCATCTATAGTGAAAAACCAATGGTGATCTTGGGGGCGATGTTCCCACCTTCACTTTATCCCACTATTTCTTGATCTAATTTTCTTTCATTCTCTCTAGGGAAACAACCTGCTCAAGTGAGGGGCAAACAATTTTACAGAGTATGAATGTTCAAAAAAACACCTGAAAGGATGCAATGTGCATGGGGCAATGCAGAGGACTAAATTAAACACCAGGGACATTCGCTTCTTCCTCTACGTGCCTTCCTAAATTTTGGGTAATTCAAAAGGTGTGAGATACCCTTGGTTCACTTTACAAAGTGCATCAATATGATACTCAAGCCATGGAGACCTTTTAACTGAGGTTATAAATCGGTCCTGATGATATGGTACACCATCATGTCAAATTTTAACTCATAGCAACCCATGGGATAGAATAAAACTGCCTCACAGGGTTTCCTAAACAATAATATTTATGGGAATAGATCACCAGATTTTGTCTCAGGGAGCCACTGGTAGATTCAAATCACTGGATCTGCATAGAAGCTAAACACGTAACCATTGTGCTCCTAGGGTTTCTAAATAACTCTGAGAATGTAACTTTATATGATTGAGGGGGAGAGATATACATCATCCAAATTGAACTTCTAATTTCTGGAATATACTACATAGAGAGATGCTATTATTGCTAGTTACCATGAGTCAGCTCCAAATCACGTTAACTTTACGTACAACAGAATAAAATGGAATTAGTTATGGTGATGTCAGAATTACAGACTAGTATTCATGGTAAAATTATATTGCATTGCATACTTTGTTCAATGTAAACATTTAATATATACAACACTTCTAACTGTTAGGGCATTGCTTTATTTTTATCTAAATGTGAACCTCAAACATGGAAGTACTTAGAACTTGTTTCAATTTATTCTCTATTTTATGAAGGTGTTTCAACAAGACATAAGGGACCTTCAAATGGTTTATAAATTATGTGTGTTTTGAGAAAACTATGCATGGACTTTCAACATTTTGGATCAAAAAAAGCTCATTCTAACTTGTTATTAAGAAGGCTTTGCAGCAGACTATTAGGTTAATCATTAGGTTGTTAACAAGATTGGTGTTTCAAATCCACCAGCAATTCCATGAGAGAAATATGAGGCTGTCTGCCGGTGTGAAAACGTACAGTCTCAGAAAATCTATGGAGCAATTCTGCTTTGTCCTATGAGGTCTCTATGAGTTGGAATTGACCTGATGTGGGTGAGTGGGAACTTACTGTAACATGTCTGAATGGAATCTAGTTTGAGGCCCTGAGGGTAAGACATCAGTTTGTAAAGAGCTCCTATCAGAGCAACATGAGTCCTGCTACAACTGAACCAAAAATAGACACCCTATTTGTGATCACATTTGAGTGAAAGAATGGTGAAATCAGTGATACTTTACAAAATGTTATTGCGACAATGCCCCGAAGAAATCAGCAGTTTACAAATGGATAACTTGTTTTAAGAAGGGACAACGTGATGTTGAAGAGGAAGCCTGTAGTGGCAAATATCCACATTAATTTTCAAGGGAAAATGAACTAGGTGTGTGCCCTACAAAAAGAGGACTGTGATTAACAGTGGGAAAAAGAGCTGACACCTCAGAAATCTCAAATAGTTCAGGTTATACAATTCTGATTAAAAATTTAAAGTTGAGCAAACTTTCATTTCAATGGGGTCAAAACCCTTGCACCCAGATCAGCTACACACAAGAGGAGATATTTCATTGGAAATTATAACCAAGATCCTGGAGAATTTTTTGGAAGCATTGTAGTAGGAGATAAAATACAGCTTTACCAGACTCAGCATGGAGTCAAATTTCAATCAAAGAAATTATTATCGAGATGTGGAAGTAGTGTAGTCAAAGCAGATGCAAATTGATCAAGAGTAAAGTTCATGACAACAGTATTGGAGGATGCTCAAGGTATTTTGCTTATTAACTTTCTGGAAGCCCAAAGATTATACATAGGTTAGCTGGATCTGCACCTAACAACAACAAAAGAACATGGACGTGTGCTAATGATGTGCTTTGAGAAAGTTAGCCAAAACTTCAGCAGGAAATTAACCAGGCAAACTTCACCAAATTTTTTTCCACCAAGACAATGCTCTTGCTCCTTGTGAAAGTTTCTATGGGAAATCATGAGGCCCCAACTATAGTCCTGGTTTGTCTCTTTCCTACTTTTCTTGTTTCCTAATCTTTAAAAAAAAAAATTCTCAAAGGGCACCCATTTTCTTCAGTTCCTAATGTAAAAAACATCGCATTCGTGTGGTTAAATTCCCAGTTTTCTTTTAAAGAATAGACTAAATGACTCATAAAATTGATTCGAAATGTGTCTAGATCTTGAAGCAGTTTATGGTATGAAATAAAATTTGTATATATTTTATTGTTCTCATTTACATCCATTTTCTCCATAAACTTTTTCAAGTCCTCTTGCATGTATTTCCTAAAGCAGGGTGTTCCTCACAAACCTTGCAATCTTTATACTCGGTCCTGGTAAAAGGCAGTAACATCCACTCTGTCTAAGCTCCAAAATATCCAAAATGATGCTGAGAATTACATGGAGAGACCAAGATAAATAAAGTAGAAGATGAGAATGGCCAACAAGTCTTCTCTTTTTAGGGATGGTAACTTTTGCTGACATCGTACCACCCCTCTTTCCTTGCTGCACTGGTCAGCATTAGTGATGTTGTGGCCAGAACAAGATCAGGTAAAGAAGATCACTTCCAAGGACATCATTTTTGTCCAGACAGCTTGTCTCGGCACCATACTTTCCTCATGGCATTCTTCATGTCCTTGTTTCTTAGTGTATAGATGAAGGGGTTGAACATGGGGGCAATCATAGTGTAAAACAGGGCAAAAACCTTGTCATCGCTGACCGAATCAGCTGTAGGGACATAGGTGAAGATGAGGGGCAAGAAGAACATGAACACCACAGTGATGTGTGAGCCACAGGTGGAGAGAGCTTTACGACGGCCCTCAGAGGATGGAGTCCTCAGGGTGGACAGGATGATGATGTAAGAAATAACCAAGGCAATGAAGGTCAAAATGGCCAATATTCCTGTGGTGGTGATGACTAAAATCACCAGTAGCTTAGTGTCAGTGCAGGCCAGCTTCAACAATGGGAATACATCGCAGAAAAAGTGGTCTATCTTATTGGGTCCACAGAAAGGAAGCTCGATAATAATCAATACATGTATTAAGGAATGAACAAATGCTCCAATGATAGAAGCCATCACCAGAACATAGCACACCTTTCTGCTCATGATGACCATGTAGTGAAGGGGTCTGCAGATGGCTGCATAGCGGTCATAGGCCATAGCCACCAAAATGAAAATCTCAGTGGCACCAAAGAAGTGGGCATAAAACATCTGGGCCATGCAATCATTGTAGGAGATGGTTTTCCGCTGGACCAGCAAGTCTGTGATCAGTCTGGGGGCCACTGTGGAGGTGAAGCAGACATCCATGAAGGACAAGTAGCTGAGGAAAAAGTACATGGGCTGCTCACGGAGGTGGCTGCCTTTTATAGTTATAAGAATGAGCAAGTTTCCTGAGAGAATAGCAAAATAGCAAAGTGAGAATAATACAAAGCAGGCAGCCTTTGCATCCCCATCACTGAAAAGTCCCAGGAGGATAAATTCTGTGATATTTTCTTGTCGCATGGTTTCTGTGGGGTTGAAAGTTTAGAAGAAGAGGTTAGTATGCTGGACACACTCAAATTTTGTATAATTGTTGATTCTTAAAGGCATTCATTGTCTATGTTTTCCTTTTTAACTATGATTCTCTCACTCTAAAGTATGCAAAAATGAACTTTATATGTATACAATTTCTACATGAAGGGTAATTCACTAATGTACAAGAAATAGGAATAATGACACAAACTAATAATGGCAATTGTGATAAATTTTAAGTTTGTACACATATATGAGTAACAGCATGAACACTTGAAAAATGAAACATTCATTGTCAAGTGTATTGATAGCCGAAAGTTCAGTGTTGAATCTCAGACAGGAACAATTAATGCTACATATAAATAGCAATGAAGTCACATCTGTTCTTCACGGGCAAGTAGGACACTATACATCTTCAGCCCTTCCCAAGGACTAGCACAGTGTTTGAAAACCCTAACATTGGAAGGATGTCATTATAGTTCCATCAGCTCATTATTTTATATATTCAACCTCTTGGTGACCATCCTAAAAATAGTGCCTTTGGTACCTTTTCACAAATGATGACATAACAGCAATAGCATGTAGCAGGGGAGGGGGAAGCAACAAGTAAAATGTTGGAGAAAAGGGACTCACCCTTGTGTGGATCTTTCAAGACAGCTATGGTTTTCTGGAATTTTCCTTTTCTTGATTAATTTCCTAAGACAAATGTTCTCACCATTGAGTCCTTTCATCAGAAGTTCTAGCACTTCCTTTTTATGGAGCTCATTTTAGAAACAGATTGCATCTACAGTTTCTTCTTCACTTTATCTATTTAACCCCTTTCTACCTCTTTGAATAGAACAACTTTCTTTTCTTTCCACACCCACTACACACTCAAGTACTGGAAGTTCTAGAATGATATGTTTATTTGGTGCAAAACACTACACTGCATCTGTTACTTCCTTTCAGCTGTATCGTGAACTAGACTGTGTTAGTAAGCTGCTAAACTCAGTTTAGCTTTATGAAAAAACAGACACCCCCCATAGTGATTCCAATTTGTCATGATGGTTGTAAGGGGAAAGGCCAGCAGTTGAATAGTATCTTTTATTTTGCATGAGTTCCCATGAATTGTTTCTGAAAAAAAAACCAAAATGCACATGTGGCATAGTGGTTTCAAGTTTGGCTGCAATCTTCATGGTCCGCAGTTCTAAGCCACCAGCAACTCCGTGGAAGGGAGAAAGACTGGGCTCTTTCTACATCAGTAAACACAGTTTGGGGAAGCCCCCAGGGCATCACTATGAATCAGCATTGATTCGATGACAGTCAGAACACATAGAGATGTTGAGTCTGATGCCAGGGTGTTCATAGAGTTTAGATTTGAAGTCTATCTATGGACCCCAAGTTAACACCCTGTGGTTGAATGTTTAGCAAAATATCTGGAAGTATCACTGTTACAATAGCAAAAGTCCAATTGCAGCGGTCCTGAGCATCGAGGAAATAATTGTTTTAATAAAAATGCAAATATGTTTCTATCTGTGAGTCATCTATCTCAGCCTCCAAAATAGAATCTTATTCCTGAGCATTAAAAAAGAAAAACTAAACCTTCTTAGAACCAAGGAAATACAAATTAAATAATGAAATATTCAAAAATTTTGTAAATATCAGACTATATCAAATTTTGATGTTGATTTAAGGAATCAGCAGTGATCTAGTAAAACACGGCCAGAAAGCATTCCAAAGGATACCCATTACAGCCTTGTTAAACAGTACTACAGATTATGTGAACTCTATCAAACTATTAAAAATCAGCGAGAAGGCTGAATATGAGAGCTATATGGTAAAGTGGAGGCGAGATTTAAAAAAAGAGGAAGACCCTTAGCGAGATGAGTTACCACAGTGGCTGCAGCCAGGGGCTCACCACCAGCACTGAGGGGGCTGGCCCAGGACAGGCAGTGTCGGGCTCTGTGGTGCACGGGTTAGCTCTGAGTCAGAGCGGATTCAATAGAATCTGACAATAAATAAAAACAACGGTACATCTAACATGGTGAAGTCAGAGATACATTGTTGTGCGTGAAAATTAATCATTGCACAAAGATAACTGTACTATAATAACTTGGATCTTGAAAGAAACGATGTATCATTTCTAGATAGAGCTTCTACCAGGACCTATGTATGGATAAGTGCACTGAAAAAAACTATAGGAAGAAATTTTTACCTTTGAGGAAGACGGTGATGGCCAAATGGAATTTTAGTGCTATAATATTTTGATTTCTCTATTGAAGGTTTATATTATAATATTAAGCCTGTAATCAAAGTTAATGAAAAATTCTTTAATTTTTAAATGGCTTAGAGAGGTGCATTACATAATGTATTAAATGTAATTCAATAAAACACAATATAATTCAGTGAATATTTTTTAAAAATTGTGTTCCTTAGTTAATATATTATTTCTTCAATTACTTTAGTAAATATATACCTAGATGTTCTTTCTTAACCATTAATATTCCATTAATTGCCATTATTTCAATTTCAGATACATATAAAATAACAAACAAAACAAAAATGAGTACACACAGCTGAAGACATCTATTAGTAATCTATTCTTATTAGCAAAACGATGATAATATATTGATCACATAGTTAGGTATTATTTTTCTCTCTCTTTGCAAATCTATTTCCTCATTACTAAATGAGGAAATATAGACTTCATAGATTCTCCTCATCACAAGGAACTAATATTTTAAAATCAAATGACTTATTAAATCATTTATAAACTTATCAAAATGATCAATTAATATTTCAAGAGCTTTCTTAGTATTTTTCTATTTTTCACTTCTATTTTTCAACCATTTGCTAATGTTTTCAAATATATGTGCCTTATTAGCATTGCTTTCCTATTTGGAGTAAAAATGTTCCACGATTTTCCTTAATCCCTTGTCCAAGCATCCAATAGCCCCACATTAGGAACTAGAATTTCAAGAAAGCATTCTCCTGGTCAATTTTCCATTAGAATGACTTTCGTTAATTTATCCAGTAAACTAATGAAACTCACTCCTAAAACTTCTAACCAGGATTGAAGACTCTAAAGATTGCAAAAAAAAATAGCTAACAACCAGATATACTACCAGTGTATTCATGGGAAATATATTTCTTAAAAAGTGATTCTCTGGTTCTTTAAAGAGATGTCTTATATTGCAGAAAGGCACGCAAAATCAATCAATGAATCAGATCAAACAAAGAGGAGCGTAGGCAAGAGGAACGGGGCAAGAACTCACTCATTTGCGGTCATCTAATTCCTGTCAGTCCGTGGAGGGATGCTCTTGACTTTTTGAACTCATGACAGCGCATGGGCAAAATATACTGTTTCCACTGAAATAAAAAAGACAACTCTGACAGAAAATAGCAATGAGAAATGTTATGTTTGATGTCTAGCTTTCAAATTACATTTAAACTTGATAGACCAAAATGCTAACTCTGTGTAGTCACAAGGAGAATAAGAATTGTTAGATCTGTCTGGACTCCCGATAACATGGCTTTAACAAAAACAAAACTGTCAGATGTAGTCAAGCCTTTTCTCCTGCCTTTCTTCCCTGCGAGACAGCACTGGGAAGTCAGGTCCATTTTCTCAAATCACTGGGTCTGGGCTCCTGGAGAAGCTAAGCTGAAAGCCTGGGGAGGACTATTTAAAGGCTCTCCAGGGACAAGAGAGTAATCCAGGGGCAGTCCTTTCATAACTCCTGGGCAAGGTCACTGAAAAACACAACACCTCTGCTTCTGAGACTTCTTGTTTCACTTACTAATTGCTTTGCCTTCTCATATGCAAATTGTAAATTCTTTTAAATTGTTTCAAATACATAATGTTACATCTTTAATATATGTTTTATGATAATGACAAAAAATTAGTGCCTATTTCTTTCCATGGACTCCTTAAATATAAAATTATTTCTCTGCCTCCACTCCCAAGCACAATAGTTTAATATTAAAGTTATTTTGCTTTTCTAATATAATTAAGACCAAGCTTAAAAGTGTTTGTATTTTTATTTTTCATAGAGATTCTGGTGAATATGAGGGAGGACATTTGTGATTCAATGGTATAATTCTTGCCTTCCACAAAAGAGGTTGTTTTGATTCTTGGCCAATGCACAACAAATACAGCCACACCAGCCTTTTCTGGAAGCTTGTGTGTGCTCTGATGCTGAAAATGTTACAGCAGAACTTTCAAGCAATATTCCATCTGTTATGTATGGAAACTGACTAGGTAGCAGCTAACAACAAATTCAATCAAACAGCACATAGTTTAGTGAAATGATTTAAGCTTAATATAGAAGAAATTTTTCAAAAGAATCTTCTGAAGCCCAAAGGCTCAGATTTTGTTTTTCCTAATCCTGAATCTGGATGATTCCATTTATGTGATATCTTGACCCAGTAAAATTTAATTGTTATAATGTTGGCAAAAGCATATTGAAAATGCAATGAGAAAAAAGTTGATCTTAGCAAATAAAACATGATTAGGTAAATATGTTCACTTCCTCCCTTCTCTCTCATTGCCATCCAGTTCATTCTGACTTAAAGTGAAATATTTTATTAGCTAGTAAAAAATGTAGGGTTGGAAGTAACAGTCCATGCTAAGCAAACATTCTGAGCTGTGAATGATTGAGCTCTTCTCTTCTAAACACAGTAGTTTCTACCAGGGATGGAATCTGACCAGTCATTCCAGACAACAGTCAATGATCTACATTTAATCTACTGTATTCAACTATCCTCAGGTTATTCCAATGTCCTCTCTGCAATTCCAAGGAGGAAGCCTACTAGGCAGAAGCGAGACAGGAGCTGGGAACAACTCGTAGAAGGCATGAAAGAACACGGCTTAAGAAGCCACCTTGAAAAATCATAGAAGATATTTTAAAGAAAAACAAACCCCCAAAATTTAGTGTAAGAACAAGAAGGTTAAAAAAAAGACAAAAGAACAAGAAGACAAATTGTATACAAACTCACAGAATGTAAGGGATGATATAATAGTAGTTCCAGTATCCTGAGATATGGACACCTTCCTAGTTCTTCCCTAAGTCCATTAGTACTAATATGACTAAAATGATTTTCAAAAGTAAAATGATCAGTGTTCTCTTTTGAGCCTGACCAAAGTCGGATTACTTCCAAAATAACAACTGTGGTTTTAGCATGACATGTAAGAAGTAATGTATAAATGTGCCCACCATTCCTTCATGATACCAGCAAGGGTGTGGAGAACTATATTGGTGCTAAAAGTCATAGGCATAAATACAATGTTAGATTGTTTGGGATGAAGGGTGAAGTAAGAACCTTCAAGAACTTAACAACTACAGCAAAAACCAAACCCAATGCCACTGATTAGATTCCAGCTCACAGTGACCCTGTAGACCAGACCAGAATCTCCCCATAGGACTTCCTAGGCTGTAATCTTGAGGAAAGCCAATTGCTTTCTCTCATGGGGCCAAGTACTGACCTTTCAGTTAGCAGCCAAGCTCTTACTAGTTTCTGACATAAGGGCTAGATGACCACTAACAACAAGAATAAAATGCCTTTACTTTTCAAATTCCAATTAGAGTTGAATTGTAAGAAAGATAAAGTCACTACTATACTGTACGTACATATAGAGAGATAATTTTAATACTCTGAATATATTTAGAATATATATAGTATATATCTATTGAAAATATATATAAATAAAATTAGAAAAATAACATCGCTACCACAAAGAGAGGGAGCGGGAGGGAGAGACAGAGAGAGAGAGACTAGAAATCCCTCTTTGCTCTAAATTCAAATAATCAGAGAATATGTGTTGTATGAAAATAATTAGACATCAGGATTGGTTGTTGTTAAGTGTGAACAAATCAGTTCAGACCCATAGAGACCTTATGTACAACAGAAGAAAACATTCCCAGCTCCTGCAATATCTTCCCAATCGTTCTAATACTTGAGCCCATTGTTGCACCCACTGTGTCAGTCCCTCTCATTGAGGGCCTTCCTTTTTCAGGCTGTCTCTCCGCCTGACCAAACATGAATCCCTTCTCCAGGAACTAGTCTCTCGTGAAAACCTGTCCAAAAATATCGAAAAGGAAGTCTAGCCATCTTTTCTTCCAAAACAGAAAGGTTAGTCCTTTGAGCAATCCATGGTACTTTCCACCTTCTTCTCCAGCACCACAGTGAAAATGGAGGAAGGCTTATGAACAACCTGCCACATGAAGATGACAGCTTGCTTGCTGAAAGTGAGGACATGAACACTTGCGGGTGAAGATCAAGGATTGCAGACTTCAGGATAGATTACAACTAAATGTAAAGAAGATCAAATTCTTCACAACTAGACCAATAGGGAACACCATGGCAAATGGGGTAAAGCTTGAAGTTGTTAAGGATTTCTCTTGCTTGGATCCACAATCAATGTTCATGGAAGCAGCAGTCAAGAGGGCAAAAGATGTGGATTGCACCAGGTAAGACTCCTGCACAAGACATATTTAGAGTGTTAAAAATTAAGCATGTTACATGGAGAAATAAGGTGCTCTTGATCCAAGCCAGGGTATTTTCCATTTCTCTTTGCTCTAAATTTACAGACAAATTTTGATTGACTTCTCTTCTGATTATTCAGGAATTTCGCTCTTACCTAAAAGCAGAAACTCTCAACCCATTTTGAAAGGTGAGGAAAAATAAAAGCTGTATGAAGTCTCTAAATATGCATATTTGTATATTTAGAGGGATATATTTGTATGTCTAGGGGCAGGATTTGTGTATTTAGGGGCATAATTTGTAGATAATCAGGCAATATGATCCCATAATATTGGTCATAAATATTTTCCTAAATACTCCCTTATAATTTATTATGGACTTGGTAGTGGGGGTTAGTGAGGTAATGATATGTGTTTGGGTGCAAGAATTCAGGGAGCAGTCGGAGGAAAAGATGTCTACAGAGACTTGTCCTAAATCTTACACACGGAGTTACCCATCCTTTTCCTCAATGGTGATATCTGAAATGTAGTTTAAATAAATTGGAATTATATGTATGCATATTTACACACACACACACATTTATACAAAAATAATCATGTGGGTGGTACAGGGCCATGCGCTGTTCTGTTCTGTTGTACACAGGGTCGCCAGAGTGGGAACTGGTGTGATAGCACCTAACAACACAGCAATGTGTGTGTGTGTGTGTTTGCATGCCTTAAAAATTAAAGCTGCTCTCGAGTACATTCTGATCCATTACAACCCCATGTGTTTCAGAGGAAAACTCTGTTCCATCAGGAATTCAAAACTTGTGATCTTTAGGAAGTCAGTTACCTGATTTTTCTTCCAAAAGAACTTTTTATTTCATTAAGAGTTGAGCACATACCCGCTTGGACCACCCAGAGACACTATCTGTGTAGAGTCACTGATGGATTCAAACAACTGACTCTGAGATTAGCAGCCTAACAAATTAGCCCAAGGCTCTTGGACATACCATAAACCAAACTAAATCAAACTAAAGTCACTGCTATTATGCCAATTCTGATACACAGAAATCCAATAGCATAGGATAGAATGGCCTCTGAGATTTTGAGACTGTAATTCTTTTTTTTTTTAATTTTATATTGTGACATAGTTATTTCTAATTACAAAAAAAATGAAATTTTTCTTTAAAAAAAATCATTTTATTGGGAGCTCTTGCAACTCTTATCACAATCCATATATACATCCATTGTGTCAACCACATTTGTACATTTGTTGCCCTCATCATTCTCAAAACCTTTGCTTTCTACTTGAGTCCTTGGTATGATGAAACAATAGTAATTTATAAATTATCAGGGGTTCATGAGGGAGGAGGAACAGGATGGGAAGGAAAAAATGAGGAGAGAATAATTCTTTTTTCCCCCTTTTTTTAAGTCATTTTTTTAAGGGGCTCATACAACTCTTATCGCAATCCATACCTACATCAATTGTGTAAAGCGCATTTGTACATTCATTGCCCTCATCATTCTCAAAACATCCACTCTCCACCCAAGCCCCTGGCATCAGCTCCTCAATTTTTGCCCTCCCTCCCTCCTCGCCCCTCCCTCATGAACCCTTGATAATTTACAAATTATTATTTTGTCATATCTTGCACTGTCCGACATATCCTTTCACCCACTTTTCTGTTGTCAGTCCCCGAGGGAGGGGGTTATATGTAGATCCTTGTAATTGGTTCCCCCTTTCCACCCAACCCTCCCTCCACCCTCCCGGTATCACCATTCTCATCACTGGTCCTGAAGGGATCATCCGCCCTGGATTTCCTGTGTTTCCAGTTCCTATCTGTACCAGTGTACATCCTCTGGTCTAGCCAGACTTGCAAGGTAGAATTGGGATCTTGATAATGGGGAAGGAAGAAGCATTTAGGAACTAGAGGAAAGCTGTATGTGTCATCATTGCTACCTTCTTTACTGGAATAGAAAGACCTGTCTTTCTCATACCGCACAGCTGGCTCTGTAGTTTGCACTCCAACGAATGAGATCATGGTGCTAGGAGGATTAATTGCTGAAATAGAACACCGCGCTTGATGAACACAAGGTGAACAAGGGTGATAGAGATGGTAAGAAGGATTGCCACAACAAAGAACTCACACCTGCCAGCAAAATCAGGGACTATTTTATTTTGTTGTCCACTGGTATCCACGAGTGGAGTCAATCCAACAGTCGCTAATGATCTCTTCCTAATCTTTTCTATAAGAGTGGCTGCTTAAGAATAATGGGATACATGGAAATATCAACAGTCTGAAATCATGAAAACAATTTCACATTTCTGTTCCTCACAAACAGGTCCTATGTCCCAGGCAATGTTTGTAGGATACCAAGTCAATGTATCACTTACCATGTAAGCCTTCCAACATCAATGTACTTGGAAGCATGGCAGAGACAGACACACAATCTATATCTGAATAATTTCCAATAAGTATCTATTTAAAAATAAATTTGTAAATCAAATAGTTTTAAAGTAATTAGATTACCCTGTATTATCTGGGTGATCTTAAAGCAATTACAAGAATCCTTAAAGTTCTAACAAAGAGGCAGAAGAGAAAGAAAAAAATGTGGGAAAGAAACAAATGTGGTGATTGAAGAAAGGTCAAAGATATGCAGTTTCTGACTTTAAAGATGTTAGGTCAGGAAACAGGGAAGGTGGGTGGCCTCTACAATCTAGGCATATCCTAGAGCCCCTAAAAAGAAGTGTAAGGTAATTAGATTGTTTAGAACCAGGAGGAGAGCAAGGAAGGGAACCTGCTACAGAGAATGAGAAATTGACCAGTGCAGTGGTTAGATTTTATGTCACCTTATACCTGGATGAAAGTGTAGTTGTTTAGTTCAGCCTGTCAATCAGGTCACAGTCTGATGGGGCCTCTTGACTGTGGCCCTTTTATAAGAGAGACATTGGGAACCCCTCTTTTTTCTTTCTCTCTTGCCCTCCTCCTTCCTGCTTGATTGAATTTTGTTTCTGCTCCCAGGTGGCTCCCCATATAGGCTGTTGAGTCTGAGAGCTGTCTCCACCCCACGGTGTTCCCATCAACATTGTGTCCACATGACTCTGACCCCACTGGACTGTGATCGCCCTGCTTCCAACGTCACCTTGCTGCTTCACTGGTCTGCAGCCATGTGAGTCTGAAGAGGGCTCTGGCTAGCATCAGACACATAGACTTGAGTTGGGCTGGGCAGAGATGCCTTCCTCATGTAACATGACTTCTTGATATAAAGTTCTTTCTTTATATCACACGCATATAAGTGTTACTGCTTTTGGTTCTCTGGACCACCAAGCCTAACAGAATGAGCAAAATAACCCTAAAGAAGCTAAACCAATAATATCTAGAACTTGAACAGCAAAAATGCCCAAAGAGCCTGACTCGAGGGTTCAGGTAAGAAAAAGGTCGACAAAGGAAAAACCATTAGGCACGCAAGATACACTGATCTCTCTCCTCAGCTGTCCACTTGAATTTTTGGCAAGTGTATTAAAACTTTCCTTTACTTTGTGGAACGATTGTCCTTTTACTTTCAACAAAACTTTTCTACTCTTTGCTGCATGCTGTCTCTTGGCAGAATTCTTTTTCACAAGAAAACTTATAACCACTGTGGTACCAAACTATTACAGAAACACAGCCAAACTGACACATTTTATCCCAGTGAGACCTATGTCAGACTTCCAACTTAGATGTTGTTGTTGTTGCTAGGTGCCACCGAGTCAATCTGATCAATAAGGATACTATTCACTGAACATCACACTGCCTGGTCATGGTGCATTCTCACAATTGTTTGTACGCTGGAGCCGGGCCCAATGTTGCAATCACTGTGCCAATTCATCTTGTTGATTGCTTCCTCTTTCTCACTGCCCCCTTACAATTCAAATGTGCTCATTCTCCTTCAGTCTTCCTAATTCAATCTCCAACTTTCACATGAATATAAGGGAGTTAAAAATACCACGACTTGTATCAGATACACCTTAGTCCTCAAAGAAACATCCTTGCTTTTCAGTATTATTATCGTCTTAGTTTCACTTCATTAATTTTGTGAGGCCCATGCATATTCATTGTATAATTAGGGTCCTTCAGTGTATGAAATCCAAGACAGATAAACACTTCAGAAATAGTAAAAGGAGTAATGATTCCTGGAGGGTGAAGAGGGGTGGGGTGAGACCAATAGCAATGATGACTCTATAACCCCACTGGAGGGGAATGAATTACAGAACTATAGGTGAACAAATACATTGAATGGTGTAAAATATGGCAAAAAAAAAACCCAGATAAAATATTATAATATAATATAATAAATGGTTTCTGGGGGGTTACGGTGGGGGGATAAAAGGGGGCTGATATCAAAGCATTCAAGAAGCAAGAAAATGTTCTGAAAATGATGATGGCAGCGATTGTACAATTATGCTTGTTCTAACTGAATTGTGGATTGTTATAATACATGTAAGAGCTCCCAATAAAAT